TGTGGTCTGCGGATCGGCCACTCAGGAGTCATTAAGAAGCAGGAAAGGAAGGAAATGTGTCCTGATGTCCTGGTTGGGGGATTGGGGTATGTGCCCTGAGGACCACCCCACTCCCCCCACCCCCACCCCCCCGCAGCTGGCTGCTACACCTCCCCGCCCCCAGCTCTGGCTGCTCCCGGGAGCCTGCCCCAGCACCCCCACACTCCTGACTGCTAGACCAGCCTTGTCTTTCCAGTGAGCTCAGCCTGTGTCTGGGTCCTGTCCCCACCCGCAGCCAGGCTAGGGACTCTTTTTTTTTTTTTTTAAAGATTTATTCATCCATTTATACAAGCACTGGGCACAGTCAGAAGCGCAGGAGGGTGAGAGAATTCACCAGAGGCAGAGCGGGGAGCAGAGCAGGCAGACTGACTAAGAGATACACTGCTGAGGGGAGCAGCGGGAGGCAGGAGGGGTCTGAGCGCCACGTGGGACCCTCGCCAGTGGCCGGGGAGCAGCAGGGGATCAAACCGGGGCTGCAGAGGCTGCGGGCAGCTTCACAACCCAGCGCTCAACCGCTGCGCCACCAGGGGAGGCCCAGGCTAGGGACTCTTTAGAGCCCGTGAGAATTGAGAAAAAGTGTCTCTTCCTCACAGATCCAAGCCAGATCACCCAATACTTGGTAGGGGGAGCTGGGGCTGACTACCAGTACCTCCCTCTCCCATAAGGGATCCATATTTGGGGAGCCTGGTATACCCACATCTGAAATCCTCACTCTACACCTGGCTCTGCCGTTTGGTCTGGTCTGTGAGCAGAAGCACACTCACCCCACCCTCATGCAGCAGCACAACACCCCAAACAACTGTCACCCACCATGTGACATAATTACAGCCCCCCAGAGCCTCTCACTAAGCACCCACACCTTTTTAATACACATCTCTCCCCTGCTCCTGCTCCGCGGAGGGCGCTCCCATTCACCCTGCATAGCCCAGTTGTCTGTCCCTTCGTCTGTAAGTCCTGCCCTAATGCCTCACCCCCAGCAAAGGTCATAGTTCCTGCTCCAGAGATCTCAATCTTTTTTCTGGTTTCCCGGGGTTGAGCCCAGAACCCTGCTTCGTAGAGGCGTCCTTTTCCTCCCGTCGCTTGTCCAGGGACCGAAGACTCCAGCCAAGCGTGGCCGACTCACTGCCCGGGGCTTCTCCGGCCCTGAAACTTACAGACCCGGGGCGAAATGGGAATCTGAAAGTCCAAGTGGCCCCCAGGCCTCCCCACCCCCACTCTCCCCGTGGGGGCTGGGCCTGGCAGGAGATTCCCAGCACATCTGGTTGTACTTAAATCATCCCTCGGCCAGCTGCCGGGGGCAGGCATGTTCACTGCTTTCCTCCCCTCTGCCCTGCCCTCCGCCCCTCCTGAAACCTTCCCAAGTCTCTCCTCCAGGCTGCCTTCCCTGATTGGTCCAGCCTCTGTATCCACAGCTCACCCTTGAGCCTCTGCCTCGCAGGTTCTAGGTTCGGGAGGGTGTGCTCTGCACGCGGGTCAGTGCATGGAACCCCATCCTTCCCAGAACTGGTCCTGGATACAGACCCACCCCCATCCAGGCGGGCAAGAGCGCTGACCAAGGCTTCCCTCTGCCCCTCAGGCCTGCATCACTGGTGTGCGCAGCAGGGAGGGCGAGTGCTCCTGCCCCATCGAAGCTTTGGTTCAGATCCAGAGAGCTGTTCCCATGACAAGTCTTGATGGCAGCCATTTTCTAAAAGGCTTTGCTAGTATAAAAGAACAAAAGGGAAATAAATACAGAGAATATAGCACAGGCGGCACAGGCGGCAAAGATGTTACATGCACTAAGTTCTGGGAATAGAGACTTGAATGAGACCCCAGTGCTCCCTAGAGAAGCTCATGGTCAGTGGAGGAAAAACACAGGTGGAGGAACAGATGTGAAGCCACATCTCAAGTGGCCCAAGCCAATATGGAAGGGAGGCCCGAATAGAAACCTTTCGCATCTTAATGAATGGAACTTAAGTATAAACATTTTGTAGTTTGTCCTTTTCATTCCAAATAATAATTTCCTGTTTAAATAAAAAAAATAACATGTTTTCATGGGCACGAATAGGGGGCAGTTGGGCGATGGAGGATTTAAGATCAGAGGCCCTGGGTTGAACCCCTGACTTTCCTGCAGCTGTGGGGTTGGGGCGGAGGTGGGGAGTGGGGGGCACTTAACCTGCTGAAGCCGGTCTCTCAGCTGGGGACGATGTGGCCCGAGAAGGCGGTGGTGGGATGACATAAGATAATGTGTGGAAGCGCTGTGTGAATTGCTAAGTTGTTGCTGTTATTACATTGCTTGTCTGAGCCTCATTTTTCTGACATCTGAGCAGCTGTCTTACCTCCTCTCTGAGGGCAGGGGCCACATTGGAGAAACTTCTCCAGTGAGGTGGACACCCAGCCTGGAACACACACACACACACACACACACACACACACACACACACACACACACACACACACACACACCCTTAATTCTACCATGCAGAGATAAACACTGGTAAGACCTTAGAGTAGGGCTGGCCATTATTCTAGATATCTATAGAAAGAGAGAGAGCGACTCCATACGACTGCACACTATTTTGTAATCTGTTTTCTCTCACTAAATATTTTGAATATCTTTTTCTGTCTACAAACATATTTATTTATCCACATAATTTTTTAAAATAGCTTCACAGTTCATCACAAGGACTTGCAAGAATTAATTTAACAAGTGTGCTTTGTTGTAAATAATTTTCCCAGAAATGAAAGCTTTGATGAATAGACTTGTAAGATCCACCTTTGTGAATGAGGATCATTTCCTGGAAGTGGGGCCTGGGGATGCCTATCTGTAGCTCTGAAAGGCCAGGAGCCCAGGCCTGCGGGAGGGTCTCTCTTCTCCTCCAGGCAGCCCTCCCAGACTGGCCTTCCAGGACACCGTGCATTTCCCTAGGCCCACGCCTTTCCCAGTAACCATCCCTCAGCCGCCAGGCCTGGAAGCCCTGAGAGGCACTAGGAAGGCCTGGCTGGTGAGGCTCGGAGGGGCCCTGGGCCCAGCGCACAAAGCCGGCTTGTCTGGGGCCGGGGAGAGGCCCCGCCTCCCAGCGCTGCGGGCCCAACATTCCTCCCTCAACAATGGCTGCTCGGAATCCTGAGAATGAAGGAGCCGGTAGTTTCCTGAGTGCCCCCTCCGATCCCCCACCAAGCTGCACCCTTTCCCCAAACCGGAAAGAAGGGCACAGGGTGGGGAGGGCGGCGGATCCCTGCCTCCAGCTGCAGCCCCAGCCCTCCCTTCGCCAGCCCCGGTGCACACTGTCCCTGCCGGGTCCCAGCAACCCTCCCCTCTGGGTGCTGGAGGAGCCCCGCTCTCTCTGCAGCGCCCTGCTGTCTAAAGCGTCAATCAGGGGCTTGCTTAATTCCCCCAGATCTAAAATGCTGTAACTTAGTGATGAGGACCTGCACCGGCTTTGTAGCCAGATTGCCTGAGATCAAGTCCTGGTCTTCCCATTACCCTCTGCACTTGACAGCTTGCCCTCCACTTCCCCAACTGCAAAGCAGGTCGATGATGGATGCTCACCCTGTAACAGGGTGGTCCCCAGGAAAGGGGGAGGTTCCCTGCCCCACCCAAGGGAGGGTGGAGCTGAGCAGGAAGAGGAGAAGCTGCACAAGAGACTGAGGAAGGAAGAAACAGGATGGAGCCAGGAGACCTGGAGGAGGCGCATGGAGCCTAAAGACATGTGAAGAAACTGCGCTTGTCTTTTGGTCGTGGACTGGGTGACACAGATGTGGGTGAGACCCGTGGGGAGGTGACAATGGCAGCTTTTATCTTGATGTTGATTTTGCTCTTTTCCTTCTGGTCTTGTCTGATTGTTTCTGATCCTTTGCTGTGGGTCCCCACTGGAAGGTGCTTTAGACTCATGGCAGGCTTTGGGGCCTTGCTCTGGGCCAATCCCATGTGGATGGACTTTTACCCACGAGGGGACGGGTAACTTTGGGTGCTTCACTTAGAAACTAGACTCTTTGCCTTACCTGTATTGTTTCCTAGTTTTATTAAAGTTCCTTCCCATTAAAGTCTCCTATGTTTTGTGTTGAAGCGGCGAATGGCAGAACCCATTTAGAATAGACAGGTTTGCGGGGTTTGGGCTGCCCCTCTCCCTGTCCTATAACAACCCCTCATTGGGGAGGGTGAGAAGATCCCCAGGAGACAGGTGGCTGCTTCCTCGAGGTCTAAGACCAGGATCCCCGCTCAACTCAAACGCTGGTGGGCCTCCCGCTCTGGCGCACGCTCACGCCCTGTCCAGATTTTAGTCCCTGGACATTTGTCCAGCAACTGACCACACCTCCGGGAAATAACAGGGGCACCGCAGGCCCAATGAAGCATCCCTCCTGCATGTTTCCACGTCCCTGTGTATTAGCTGTAAACCATAAAGGCTTCGGAGAGTAAATAAAATTTAAAATAAAGGAAAATTTCTATGTCAGTTCACGACATGTCTTGCGTTGGGGAAGCACATGCATTTCTAACTCTGCCAGCAGCTGCTAGACAGGGGTGGCGGGGTGGGAGAAGGAAGGGGGGCTGGGGGTGCACAGCATCCCCGCTCTTTACTATTGGAGGATTAGAAGTAACATTGAACAGTGAATGGCTGGGGCCCTGGGTTTCCTGTAATGTTTTTTGGGTTGTTGGCCACAGACATCTGCCACCCTCTTCCCAGCAGCCCTCACACTCTTGTCTCCTTGTGCACCTCCACCTCAGCCTACTCCTATAACCCCCAAATTAACATCTTCTGCTGCAAGTGCCGGAAAACTCCCCATATGACTTGTACAAGAAGGAAATGCGTGATCATACTTCATCCGACCAAGATGACACAGAGCTAAGAAGGGCCGCTCCTCTACATATAATTACTAAGAAAATGTTGCCAATTGAGCGGACTGATTTCTAATAACCTAGAAAGTTTTTATTTTATATTTATTGAAAAAGCCCTTTGGACTTCTATGAAATCTTTCAGCGTCAATGACGGGCACACATGCCACAGGGAAAACAGGTGAAATAGACGGAATGAGATTGTCCTTAAACTCTGTCAGAGTCTGGCTCTTGGGATGGCTCTTCGGCTCTGAGCTATCAGTGTCTGGGTTTTTCCAGAGAATCATCTGGCCGTCATGAGTAACAGTGATACAGCATTTCTCCAAAGACTGCTCTGCTGAATTAATTACCTATTGTTCTGTAAAAACTTACCCCAAATTTAGCAACTTAAAGCAATAGACATTTATTATCTTATAACTTCCATGGGCAGGAATCTGGGAGCGGTTTGTTTAGCTGAGAGGTTCTGACTCAGGGTCTATTATGAGCTAACACTCGAGCTGTCGGCCATGGCCATGGGCTAGTCAGGGGGGCCTGGAGAATCCACTTCCAAGCCCCTTCTAGGTGGGTGTTAGCTGGACACCTCACTTCTTCACCATGTAGGCCTCTCCACAGGCCACTGATTAACTTCATAACACGGAAGCTGGACTTTCTGATAACAAGTGACTCAAGAGAGGGCCTCCCTGGTGACGCAGAAGGTTGAGCGCAGCGCTGTGAAGCTATCTGCAGCCTTTGCAGCATGGGTTCGATTCCCGGCCGGCCAGGGAGCTACCCATACGGCGCGGCATATGACCCATATGACCTCTCTTGGCTCGCCCGCTGCTCCCCTCAGCAGTGCTTTTGTTCTGTCTGCCGGCTCTGTCTCTGGTGAATCCTCTCACCCTCCAGCGACTCTGTCTCGCCCTCCCGCGACTATGGCCTGTATAAAAAAAAAAAAGTATACTGATTTCAGAAATGTTAAAATGTGACCGAATGTGCATTTTAGAATTATTCACTATGACCTTTTTCATAAGAATGGTGGCTCCAGAGTTAGTTAATTCAACACCTTCTTCAAGGACCATCTTTGCAAACTAACGCCCTAGCATACCTGCAGTGTTCCAGACCTGATGCCCTCCCCCTCAGTCCACATGAGCTCAACAGGTCCTCTCAGGTGTCTCCTTTTTTGAGCAAGAAACTTTCCCAGGGCCTCTCTGGTGGCACAAGGGGCTAAGAGGCAACCTATGAAGCTGTCCACAACCTCTGCAGCATGAGTTCGATCCCCGGCCGGCCAGGGAACAACCCACATGGCGCAGCAGACCTCTCCTGACTTGCCCTCTGCTCCCCTCGGCAGTGTACTTTGGTCAATCTGCCTGTTCTGTTCCCCACTCTGACTCTGGTGAATCTTCTCACCCCCACACCTCTGGCCTGTACCCCAGCTCTTATATGCATAAATAAATAAATCTTTTTTTTTTTTAAAGAAACTTTCCCAGATATATCCAGATTTCACCTCAACTCTTTGATAAAAAATTTGTTATTGCCTGTGATAGCTAAGATTAGGTTCAGTTGCATAGTAGAAAAATTCAGTGATTTAAACAAGATTGAAGTTTATTTTTTCTCACCTAAAAGAAGTCTGAAGGTAGAGGCTCCTGCTGAGCTGCGGCCATAGTTTGGTGTCATCAGGGACATTTCAAATAGTATCATTCTCAAATTCTCCTCATGGTTCAAAATGGCTGCTGGCGTTCCAGCCATCAGGTCCTTATTACAGACAGAAGGAACACAAATGGAAGGGCAAAGGTTGCTCCTCAACAGAGTCAGCTCCCTTAAGCAACCTCCTCACATGTCTCAGGAACATTCCTGTTTTCATCTTATTAGTCAGAACTTGGCCACATGGCTACCTCTACCTCCAAGAAAAGTTAGAGACCTTTTTTTAAAGGGCACTATTTACCCTAAGTAAAATTTATCTCTTTGTTACTAAGGAATTTATCTCTTTATTACTTAAGAAGAATTGACTACAATCAGTGTCTTCTACTGTCCTTGCGCTAAACCACCCCCAGTCAGGGGAACAAGCTTACTAGGATAAATATAGATGCACCAGGATTTACTCCTGGGTTGGACATAGGGTTGCATTCCCTGGGACATGGATCTCCAAAAGAAATCTGAATTCTGTCAATGAGGAAGAAGCAGGTGCAACAGTCACTATTGGTTATCTACTAACAATCGCTACTCCTTTCTTGCTCATAAAACCTTGATTTTGCTCAGATCAGGATGACTTGTTCTTCAGGGGAGACTGAACCCCTCCCAGCCCAGGGCAAATCTTGATTTGTTCGATACACCTGTGGGAATTCTATTCCCTCTGCCAGCGTTTGGTTTAAAATTGGACATGTAATATGATTCTGCCCTGGGAGGCAGGAGGGGATTTGGGGGAGGGTGGGAGCTTCTGAAAAGATTCTTCAGAAGTGAAAGATAAAGAGCTTTCAGTCACCTCTGCCATCATCTCATGTGAAGCTGGCAACTGCAGCAGCCACGTGTGACTTAAGAGAAATCAGGGTACAGGCACGGAAATCAAGGTGGTAAGGAGGGCAGAGAAAGGAGAAAGACATACAGTGTAATATTCATAGACGGGAACCCTATTCGGCAATAAAAATGAACTACGGATACACACAATACAGATGAATTTCAAAACCTCCGTCTGAAGCGGCAGAGCCTGACACAAGAGTCTCTACAGCATGAGTCAACCCATAAGCAGGTCTACACCATCAAAACTGATCGATGGAAGCCAAAATCAGATCAGGGATCACCTGTGGCAGGGACTGACTGACTGCCATGGACATGAGGGAACTTTCTGGAGGTAGAGTATCTGTATCTGGCCTGGAATGGTGACTACCAGGTATGCGTTTGTCAAACCTCATCACTATTTTTTAAATCGATGCATTCTACTGTGTATAAATTATACTTCAACAAAGTGGATAAAAGAAGGAAAGAAAGAAAAAAAGAAGAAGGAAGGAAGGAAGAAATCTATGTTCCAGATAACATTGTTGAGTCACTGAATTAACCAGCAGCCCCACCTTGGGACTTGTTTTGTCACATAATAAATAAACATCCTTGTTGCTTAAGCCATTTTTAAACTGGGTCTTCTGTAACTTGAAACCCAAAGCATTCTGACAATACAATCCCTCTTCTCAAAAGGAGGAGAGGCATCCAGAGGTTTTGGGACAGATCCAATCTCGAAACTGGGGGCTTCAAGGAACAGCTGACAAAGGCAAGAGACTTGGAAGCCCTGCTTGACCTGGAGGGGTCTGCTCTGAGCCCCCATCAGAGTGAGCCCAGCGCACCTGATCTCCCCCACCCCCACATGTAAACTAGCAATCTGGGGACCAACTCCCAGGCTTCTTTCTGGTGAGGATAATCAAGCAAAACCGCGGGTGGCTCTTGGGACAGGCTCCCATCTACCTTACCTGGACCTGGTGAGGATGGCCTGGGCCTGAACCAAGCAGAGGGGCAGGGCGAGGAAGACGGGAACAGAAATCAGAAACCCTTGGGAACAGATTGGGGGACTATAGGACACCAAGGACTCAGGCTGGGGTGACAATGTGAACAGGACTGCTCAGATTTTTTGCAAGATTATGTACAATATAGGGCCTCCCTGGTGGCTCAGGGGTAAAAGACAGCGCTATCAAACTGTCACCAGCCACTGCAGCATGAGTTTGATCCCCAGGCAGCCAGGGAGCAACACACATAGTGCGGCAGACCCCTCCTGTCTCGCCCGCTGCTCCCCCCAGCAGTGTGTTTCAGTAGATCTGCCTGTTCTGTTCCCCACTCTCTCTGGTGAATCCTCTCACCCACCACCTCTGGCTTACACCCCAGTTCTTGTATGCATAAATGAATAAATCTTAAAAAAAATTATGTACAATATCTGTATTTATCATCACTAGATACTGGTAATGGGGAGTAGCCCCTGGGAGGAGCCCATTTTGAGAATAACAAGAAGAGGATGAATTGAATTTGAGGTGCAGTGGTGGACACCAACAAGGGCTTTGCCACTGACTAGCTATGTGGTTTGGGCCAGTTCCAATTCTCTTGAAGCCCTGCTGTTCTGTAAAATGGGGATTCTGAGCTTATTTTCCTCATTAGATAGCAAGGATTAGATGATACAGCACACGAAAGCCCCGCGCATAGTGCTTGGCACATAGTGGGTGTTCATTAAATAGCAGTGATTTTTTTTCATCACCCCTCTACACCCTGCCTCTGCAGGCAGCCTGGTCCTGAGCCACCCCTGCTGTAGCACCCGCCACAGTGGGCTTAGTGTTCGCCGCCTGCCTGGGACAGGATGTTCCCCTGCAGAGGATTTCCTCTGCTTTCCTCTTTCTCTGACCCTGTCCCTCCCTTCCTTCCAGTCTGGACTCTGCCCTCCCTCTTCTAGGAAGCCTTCCTTGACTGCCCCTGCCTTCCCCCCCAGCCACCCTCTCCGCCGGCTCCGGGTGGAGGCTGGTCAGAAGCCCAGGCTTCCCACCACCCCTCTGAGGACGCCCGCCAAGAGCCCGCCAGCGTCCACAAGGCTTGATGGCGCGGCTTGCACAGCGAGGAAGGGCGCCTGCTCTCCACTGTCCCTCCACCACATCCGGGGGGGCTGGCAGCGCCCAGAGAGGTGGAGCTGAGGGGGAGGCCACCTGCCCGAGCTGCAGCGGACGGGCCAGCTAAATCCTTGACCTACGATGGAAGGGGTCGGGCATAGTTCAACAGGGCACGCCGGCCGGGTTCCAGCTCGCGCGCGCAGGTCAGGACGGAGCTGGGCGTCTCCTCAGGCCCCGAGGCACACTCCAGCACCCCGAAAACGCACACCCGCCATCCTATCAGTGCAGAACCCCCTCTGAGGGGGGAACGTGGAGCAGGGAGGGGGGAGCCACGGATCTCTTGGGGCGGCAGCCCCTGGCCCAGCGAGGGTTCCATGCAGGTCCTGCAGGCACCGGGCGCGGGCCCTTTGTTAGGTCCCGGGACCCAGCAGCTTGGCTGAGTCCCCAGATCCCAGCCTCTGTCCCCCAACTCCTCTGGAATTTCCTTCCCGAGCTGAGCTCTCCGAAGGGTGGGGAAGGCCCTTCAAATAGCGGGAGTGTCCGACGGAATCCCAGGCGCACAGGGAGCGCGAGAGCGCAGCGCCTTCCCGGCTCAGCCACCACCCGCCGGGGCAGGATTGGGGGGGCAGGGGGCGGGGAGGCCCGGGGGGGGGGGGGGGGGGAGAGGCCGGGGAGGAGGCCTGGGGAGGAGGCCTAGGGGGGAGGCCGGGATGGGGGAGGCCCAGGGGGGAGCCCGGGGGGGGGCCGCCCCCCTCCGGGTGCAGCTCCCGCGGCCTGAGGCCTCCACCGACCCCGGGTCTGGGGTTCGCCCCCGGGGAGCGCCACGCAAATGAGATGCAAAGCGAGCCGAGCCCGCGCGGGGTGGGCCGGCCCGAGACTTTGTCCCGGGCTCCGGGCAGCCGCCTCCCCCGCCCGGGCCCGGGCCCGCCCATAAATCACCTCCGTCAGCGTTAATGGCTCCTGACTAATTGCCTGGACTCCGGCTCCCAGCTCGGGTCGCCCGCATTAAAATTCAATCAGGCCCAGCGCTGAGCTATTAAATATTCATTGGGAGAGCTTCCCGAAACTCGGCGGGGGGATGGGCCGGACGGGGTGCGGGGGCTACCCGAATCCCGGCCCCGCCTCGAGGAGACCCCGCTCCTCCCCAGCGCTTCTGGGGCCTGCGGGCTGCTTCCTGGTTTCCATCCTGCTGGGCCCCAGTTCTCGGTGGAAATCCCTAGGCCTTCGGGAGAGGGGCACACCCCGCCGAGGAGCTGGGGTAAATGATGCCCAGGGGCTGCTCTGGTCCTCTGCCCTGCGTCTGCTCTTTGCTGGTCGCCTCAACCCACCAAGTGCTGCCCAGTGCCCACTGTGGGTCTCTGTCAGCGCTGGAGCCTCAGGCCTCACTAGAAGTGGAACAGCTCAAAGACCCTGATGGCTTTGACCCCAACAGACGCGGGAGAGACCCCCAGGTCCCTGCCCTGTTGCCTTCGCGGGGCTGTGTAGTTGGCACCAAACCGGCCATCTTTAGCTTGGCTAGTGGGAGTTTCAGACTGGGCAGCAGGGGGTCTGTGCTGCAAGGGAGAAGGGGTGTCTCTGCAGGTCTCCTGTCCTCTGGCCTTCAGGAATGCAGCTTCTGCAAGCTCCTGGGCCCCTGGCCTGGCGCTGAGCAGACTGCCTGGAGTTCTCATGATGGGTACCAAGGGGGAGGAGGCTGGCTCTGAGGCCTGCAGGGGCAATGGGCGTGTGCAGGACTTTAGCAGGAAGTACCCACCCCCCCATACATGCACACTGTAGCTGGAGGGGTCAGCTGCCTGAAGACAGTCAGGGCCCAAAGGCTGCAGTGAGCCGCTCCAATAAGGACTGCGAGTCTGTCTGGGCTCTCTGTGGTGTGCCCAGAGGGATGCCTTGTGACACAGCTCCAGCCAGGAGGTGTCTGAGTTAGAGCGAAAGCTTCAGGAAACAGGCTAGGTGAGGCGCTGCTCCTCCCTTTTCTACTGTGACTCCTCAGAAGCAAACCACCTGCTCAAAGGCTCTTCCCCTGCCCTTTGGCCTGCTCCTTGCTCCTGGTGCCTGAGGTCTGGCAAGAAATTAACCCTGTGGAGCATGGGGGAGGCAAAGACAGTAGAACCACAGCTACAGATGCTGCAGGGAAAAGGTGGCGGCTGAGAGAAGCATTTTTTACAAGCCCAGCAGCTGCTCAGGACAGGTGTGAAGTTCAGGGAACACTGTTTGGGGAGACACTGGAAGGGGCTTCCAGTCCTGCTGCCTCTGAGAGCATCAACCATCCCCCTACTCCCCTGCCCCGCCAGGATCCAGGAAGGCCCCAGAGCTGGGTGCAGGGCAGAATGTATCTGGCAGCGATTAGGAAGGTTGCTGGGGCTGGGAGGCCTCAGACTTCAGTGGGTCAGGAGTGCCTGAGCCAAGTGTCCGATTCCAAAGCCAAACGTCACAGGCAATCCGGGATTCCAGCTCACCCCATGTGTGGTTCCCATTAGGGCTGGCTGGGGTCTTCCTGAAGGCCAGGCAGATTCCTGAGCCCTTCCCCCAATATGGCCCCTCCCTCTTTGGGCTGTTTGGAATGTCTTACCCTGTTCTTCCGGGTGGCCTGCCAGAGTCCAACCTTGGGGATTTTCAGGGACATCCCACTCCAAATAGGCCTCCCACCCACTCGATGATGTTTTTGCAATCCCTTAAAGGAGACAAAGGGACAGGAGATTTAAACCTTTAACCCCTACCCCCAGCCCCAGGGAAGGCTAATCCCTGAAGACCCCTACCCTGTGCCTGGGAGCCTTCCCCTCTCCTGGTCAGCTGCCTTTGTTCAGGCTTCAGCCGGGCCTGAATGCATGCAACTACCCCCACTGACCAGGTCCTACTGGCCCTACTGCCCCAGTATGGGTGCCCTAAAACCCAGATCATTTCCCTCCTCACAGAACTTCCAATAGCTTTCCAGCAACTGCAGTAGTCACCCTAGATATATTTGGGGTGTGTATGCTAGCAACAACAACAAAAAAATTAGTTGTCAATATTTAAAAAGCAGGATGTAACACATAAAATCTACATTTCTGATTTTTCTTGAAAATATCTGCTACCACGAAGCTCACAAATTGGTGTGACAATTGGCTGGAACTCAGCAATAGTCATAAACTTCAGAAGGAAACTCTGGAGTTTACATTGCACCTTACTCCCCACCAGTCCCTATTATATCCCAGGTCTGAGGCCCAGATAAGTGAGTGGCCTTTATATCACTGGGCTGGCACGGACCTTTTTAATCCTACATCCTGTCACCTTTACTCCTTCCAGGCTCTTATGCTCCTGTCTCGGCCCCAGCTCAGCTCCCCCCTCCCCCAACCTTGGTCTGGTGTGTGTGTCACGTCAGCCTCCACATACCTGCCTCCTCCTTATCCCAGTCAGCTCCCCTCCACCACCCTTGCTCCAGGCACCTACCCAGACACATCACATGGTGTCACACTCTTGTCTTTGCATACGCTGTTCCTTCTGCCTGGGACACATCTCTTGTTCTGCCTCTGGTGAACTTGTTTTTCACCAACAAACTCCAAACCAGAAATCACGGACTCTGTGATGTTTCCTGATATCTCCAGAAGGCAACATCCTCAGGCTCTCCCAGGGTCCCTATGATTCCAGAACTTCTCCCACTGCAGCTCCTCTCCATAGTGAGAGCCCCTGTAGGGCTGAGAGAAGGCCTGCTTGGCACCCCTGGTATTGAGGAATCAGACCACCAGATTAATGGTGGGATGGCTACAGTGAGGGGGGCTGTTGGAGTTGGCTTTTGTGGCCCCACTGGCTTGTTGGAGTTGGCAGGCTTGCAGGAGGGGGAGGCCGTAGGCCTTCTGTGCTGCAAGGTGAGGTCCTGGGCCCTGGGCAAGAAGGACACTTGTCACCAGAGATGTTGATGTAGGAGGCGAGGGTGGGGATTGGTGTATCTGGGAGCCTAATCTTGTCTCATTCAGGATCACCTGTGCTTCTGCACCTGAGGGGTTGTTTTGACCCCTGGGGGTTGGAAGTGAAGACTTGTGTTTGGGCAAGTGGCTTCCCACACCAGGCCAGTGGTACCCTGTGTACACCCATTGTGGCCCCAGTGCAGTCATCAGTGCCATGATGAAAGGTCAGGCAAACATCCTCGTCTCCTGAAGTTGTCGAGGGTCCCTGGACAAAGGGCTTGAAACCATTAAGGCTGCTCCCACTTATGGAGAGAAATCTCCATAAGGGGAGGTTCCATATTCCTTGCCCACCTAACAAAGGGTGGAGCTGAGCAGCCAGGGGACGCTGGAAAAGGCTTGGAAAGAACACCGTGGAGGAAACACAGCGAGACAAGGAGGAGACACTTGGGCAAGACATGGGTTGAGAGACACAGGGGGAGGCTGACAATGGAAGCTGTCATCTTGGTTTGCACTTTAATTTTGCTCCTTTCGTCCCAGACTGGCCTGGACCCTTCTGCACCGTTCCTACAGTTGCCCACCAGAAGGTGCCTTAGACTTGTGGCAAATTTTCAGGCCTCAGAGGCCCCACTTTAAGCCACCTCTCTCTCTATGCACACTAATTTCATTATTTTTCACACCTAAGTATGCTTTGTCTTTTGTGGCAGATGGCAGAACCCCTTTAGAGCATGCAAGTTTGGGGGCCCAAGGGAACCCCTTGATCTGCACACTAGCACCATGATGTTTCGGGGCCTGTGATCCCAAGCGCACCCTGCACAAGGGCCTTCCCCAGCCGACTCCATGCCTCTTGCAGGTTCCCAGCTGTTACAGCCCCTTCCCCGCAGCATAGTCAACCCCAGCCATCACCCCCCAGTCCAGGGGTTTCCCCTAAGCCAAGGACACTTCTGTTGCTCCTCAGGATTAGCAACTCACCCTAGGAAGTATTGGGGTATCCCTATTTTTATAGATGAAGAAACAGGCTCCCGTGGTGAACAGCCCTGGGGTGGGAATTGCGGCCCACCCGCCTGACAGCCAAGTCGTCTCCAGTTGCCCAGCCTCTGCCCACGGGTTCCAAGCTCCGGCCTCGGGCGCCCCCCCTCCCCTGCCACACACACCGGCCACACCGGTCCCGTCCAGAGATCAGGGCACCAACATCCCAAGGCGAGCGCCAGCCACCGACGCGAGTCAGCGCATTCGGATTGCGAAGGGTCGGCCCTAAGGTCCTTCCAGAAGCCCTGACTCCAGAACAGGACCTGAACTTCGGGATTCTGTGTCTTGTAAGGCGGTGTGACTCCGGGCCCGGGGCACACCCGCCCCACCTCCCGCCGGGGGCGCGGCGGAGGGTGGGGGGCTGCCTCGCACCCCAGCCCGGGCCCAGGGCTGCCTGGGGTGGAGTAAGCGGTGGGGGGAGGTGGGGGGCAGCGTGTCGTGCAGCCCGCGCCCCAGCCCCTCCCCCCGCTGGCGTGCAGGGGAGACAGGAGGGAGCAGATGGCAGCAATTACCGCCCGACCCTCCCCCGCCGGTGGCCCGAGGCCGGAAGGGCCGGCGCGCGCCCTCCGAGGCTGCGGCCGGGCGGGGCGGGTGGGGCGCAGGCCGGGAGGGGCTGCTCGGGGGCCGGTGCGCGGGCGCCCCAGCTTCTGGGGGAGGACACGTTCTTCTCTCCCCGGAATAGCGCTGGGAGATTTCCCTGGGAAGGGACGAGGCCTCCGCCCGCCGCCTGGCGCACACCCCCTGCCCCCAGGGCTGTCCAGGCCGGGCCCCAGCAGGCTCCGCCGCGGGTCTCCAGATCCCGGGATTTTCAGGCTGCCCCGTGGTCCACGCTGGGGCGAGAGGAGCTGCAGGGTCTGCAAGTTGTGATGTGAACGCGGGCCAGGTGAGGGGGCGCTTGGGGTCTGAACTCCAAGCCCTGGGCCTTGGCAGGTGCTGACTCGTCGCAGAGGAAGGCCTGGGGCAGCTTTCCTCACAAAGGGCCTGATGAGAAAGCTTGTCCTGCCCCTGATTTAGCGCTGCTGAGGGGGAGCCCGGCTGGAGCTGGCCTCAGGGAGTCCAGGCAGGAGGACGCGGGGGCCCAGGGCAGACGGCCGCAGCCGCTGGACTTGTCTGCCCTTTCTCTTGTCCTGAATTTCCCTTCCATCCCCACTTAGATTGTCCCGTCCATTAGCAAAGTTTATTTCTCTGACTTAGAGTTTGGATCAGCCTCTGCCCCTCATCCCCCCGCTGTCCAAGGCCGCACAGCGTCCTTGCACAACCACAAAGGCCCCTGTCTGCTCTGCTCCCAGCCCAGCAGTCAGTCCTCACAGCCGAGAGGGACCTGCAAAAATACAAGTCAGGAAAAGAAAAAAAATCAGGGCGCGCCACTCCTGTTTAACAACCTCCCACACCTTCCCTCTGAAGTGAGCCCCAACTTCTTCCCCTGGCCCTGCCGGTGCTGACCTCTCCGCTAGGCCTTCTCGCCTCTTCCCAGAGCTGCTCACACGGGCTGCCCTTGTGTCTCTTGAACTTGACGAACTTCCCCACCTCCGGCCTTGGCCTTCTAGTCCCTGTGCTTGGACGGCTCCCTGTAGCTCCTTCACGGGACAGTCATCTTCCCTCAGCCCTGACCACAGTAATAGAGCAGCCCCACTTTTATCTGCCCTGACGCATGATTTCACTTAACCTCATCCACTTCTTCCACCGGACCTACCTCCTATAGTTATCTTCTGTGTTCGCTTGGTTTGTGGTCTCTTTCTCTTACTAGGAAGCCAGCTCCAGGAGCACGGAGACCTTGTCGTTTTTGTGCTCTGCTGTCACGATGCCTGGCACAAACCTAGGTGTTCGTACACATGGCATGCATTAAAGAATGCAGGAGGCCCTGGGGAGCCACCTGCCACGCATCCATCTGGTCACCTCTAAATGGGCTGCTTCCCTGGAGGGGCCGCTGCAAAACCCTGTATTCCCCCAGACGCCTCATCTACCTGTGCAGACCTGCGCTTTACAGTAGCAGTCGCCTTAGCAGCCGGCACTTAACTGCGCAATACTGTGTGCCAGGCATTGTTCTCAGTGCTTTATTTACATGGCCTAACTCATTTAATTTTTTTTTTTAAAAAAAAAAACAAGATTATTTATTTATCTATACAAGAACTGGGGTACAAGTTAGAGGCATGGGAGGGTGATAGGATTCACCAGAGACAGAGTGGGGAACAGAACAGGCAGACTGACTGAAAGACACTGCTGAGGGGAGCAGCGGGCGAGACAGGAGAGATCTGCCATGCCATGTGGGTTTCTCCCTGGCCAGCCGGGAATCGAACCCGCGCTGCAGAGGCTGCGGCACTCAGCCCACTGCACCACTGGGGAGGCTCTTAACTCATTTAATTTGTCCAGCAAAGTAGAAACTAAAATCTTCAGTTTCCAATCAGGACACAGGACACACAAGAATGTGTGCTCATTCAGCAAAACACACACATGCATCAGAAGCACTGAATTCATTAATTATTGTTGTACCACAGATAGCTGGGTGGGGTGAGTGAACACTTGGGTGAGCCTGGGGCATTAATAACTCTTGCAGGAAAGTGGAACAGGAGAGAATAGAACACCAGGGAAAGGTCAGTGTAGGTGTGGGGTCGGGCTGGGGGCATAGGGCTAGTCTGGTCAAGCAGGCAGGAGTTTAGACCACAGCCCATGCCCACATTTTTTTTAAAGATTTATTAATTTATGCATACAAGAGCTGGGGTACAGGCCAGAGAT